GAAAGAATTTTTTTATTTTATTTTTATTAATTAACTTATTAATTGTTTTCCCAGCCAGATCACAGTTTCTCCTTACTCCCTCTTTTCCTCCTAGTTTCCTCCCTTACGAACTACCCTCTTCCCCTGCATCTCCTCCTCCCCTTTCTCTTCAGAAGAGGCAGCCCTCCCATGTATTTCAGCCAGTCATGTCATATCAAGTTGTAGTAAGATTATAGCCTCCTCTCCTATTAAGGCTAATGAAGTCATGGAGTTTGGAGGGGAAACTACAAATGCCATTTTGCTAATCAGCATAATTCCTAAGCACATTCCAAATATCTATACTACCCACAGGTAAGTATAAATCTCATCCTTCATCAAGGAAACTTCTCTCTGTAACAGACAGAGACCATTGAATAAAAGCACAACTTGGCAGTGGCACCAGGTGTAAGGATTCAGGTGCTATGCTGACCTTGCTCCCTGACAATGGGCAGGATACCCACACATTCAGACAAATACTTAGACATCTCAAAGGGCTCTGTGTTGTGTGGCTATGTCATGTGTTACATAGTTGAGTAAGGACTCTGTACACATGTGCAAGCTTCCCTATTTGCCCCTTCTTCCCTCTCCTTCCCTTCTTCTTATTACTCCTCCTTCTCCCTTCCATCTCTATTCACCATTGGCCAACCCCTACCCCTCCCTTTGTACCCTTTCCCCAATAAACTCCACCTGGATTTTGTTGAGTTTTGTGGTTCTTGTTTCAACACCCACAGCTATAGCAAAACAACACCAGGTGCACAAACTTGCTTGTTGGAGTCCATTCCTTATGGAAGGATACCTTGCTCAGCCATGATACAGGGAGGAGAGTGCATGGGAAGGGTTCAAGAAAGGAAAAGGGAGGGAATTATATAATTATATTTTCATTTCAAAAAGTAAAGAATGGGTATGAGTCACTTCTAAAATTAATGAACAGAATCAACATAAATCAGGCATTTCTCTTTAGCATCTGTATGTTTCTATTTCTTACATAAAAATTTTCACTTGGGAATGGATAATATTAATTATATTAATCATTATCTCATTATTTTGATTTCTACTAAAGAGGAGAACTAGTCAAATATATTTGCTATCCTGAGTATTATTTAAAATGTTGGCTGTGAAAACAGGATTCAATGAGTAAAATATAGTAATTTATTATGTTCTTGGTGATGAGTCTGTAGAAAAAATAAAATATCCTAAAGGCTAATATTCAGTATGATTATCAACAATTGAACATTCTACTATGACACCTAAGCCTTGGGTGCAGGAGCTGGGAATCACCCTGCATTTTGATCAGCTGGGGTTTTCTCTGTAATGCACTATGTCTGTTGAAGAATCAACTTTAAAATCTCATTTTTTTAATGAACTTAGATAACTCACTTAAACCTCCTATGACTTGGTTAAAGGAACTGGCATGCAGATTTTGCATTAAACAGTGATTTTTATATCCCTGACCATATTCCTTTTCCCCTTTAGTTCTCATTGGTTAAATTTTTAGAAAGCAGAGCATTCCTGATATTCTCTATCCTTTTGGTATAAGATACAAAGTCTTACATAATGATTTTTAAAAGGCTTATAAAAATAAAACATTTATACATTAAGTACTGTCATGGGATAAAAGAGAAAAGTAGGTCAACAGATTTCTCTTGTATTTGATAAGGAAGAACTACGACTCCTCCAAAAGAATGACAAAACCAAAGGTTGGCTAAGCATGGTGGTTACATTGACCTGATCCAGGCAAGCTCAGTCAGGGATTAAATTTCAGTCTTCCTGAAGCAAGCATGGTGCTAACACATCACTTATGCAGGTCATTTGAAGATTTGGGTGTTGTCCTGCACACAGGCAAAGGTGTGGACCAGATGGCATCTTAGCCTCCTCCTCATCCTTAAAGTTGGAAGTTGAGTTTAATAGACTTGTCATTAAATCCAGGAATCAATTCCTGACCTCTCCCTGTTACTAAGACTTTTGGAGAAACCTCACCAGGAGAATAGATACCACAGTTGTTGAGACAGTGGCAAATCTTCAGGTGATGTTGCCACAATGCCTCACTCTGGCAGTCTCTGAATGTGGGTCCTATTGGATGACTTGAGTCATTCAGAGTAGCTATTAGTATGTTGAAATACCACTGATAATGTTAGTTAGAGGATTTAAGTCTTAAAATAGCCAATGTATGCATTATCCCAAATTGAATTAATGAAGATAAGTACACAACACAGAAAAGGTTGTCAAATGATTTATTGTAGTCTTATATAAATAACATGGTACATGAAAAGTAAAATTCAGAGGAACTGTAATGAACAGACATGGCAGGGAAAAATGCTCAGTTTGTGTTGCCTAGGGAAGCATTTAATACCAAGTATAGAATATAATGTAATTCAGCTAAGAACATTCCTTAGGGAAGGTGGAAACTGTTTAGCATGCAAGCCGAGTTGAAAGCTGTGTCTGATAGTACTTTGGGTTTTTCCCTCAAACTGTAGGGAGTCCCAAACAAGACCCAAACAATTAATGTAAATAATATATTGGGAGAAAAAAGTACTTTATTTAATCTGATATTCAAAAATAATCAGGAAAATTACATAACCTAGTGCCAACATTTTGACAAGAGAAGTTAGTGCTGTAAATGGTGATGGCTGAGAAAAATTGAGACAGACACTGATGTGTAAATACATAGGTAACTAGTTAGATGATAGATAGCTGCATAATTGGCAGATACAGGCATATTAGATAGATGTTTAGGTGGCAGATAAGTGGTAGATAGATAAAAGGTAATGGATTGTAGATAGATAATAGATTAGATAATGATAGAGATATGGCAGATATGTACATAATAGATAAGTAGACAGATGATAGATAACAGATAATGGATAGACAGAGTCATGATAAATTATTGTCAAATGTCTCCCTAAATCTACAGATAGCTAGATACCACGTCTCTCACATTTCCTTGGTGCTCATCATGCCCACATGACTTGGACATTATCCCCAAAGTCTTACCTTCCTCCTCACCTGACTCATTCAGACTTTGATTTGCCAGCTCCTTGAGTTTGATCAGTTTCTAAAGAACATCAGAGTGTGACTGTCTCTTCAACCATCTTGTTCTAGATTAAATATAAAGTATTTCCACTGAAATTCCCAACATATGGACATTCAACCACTTTTGATATGCGAACTAAAGAACGGTAGACACTTGTGAAAAACGCGTGAATGAAGAGAACACATGGGCCTAAAAACACAGCTCATACACATCCTGTGGATTCTTGCCCTTGAAATCCCATGACCCTGCCAGGGAAGGCTATGTCTCATCTTACTCATTTTGCCTCACTTGGAAGAATATGCATCCAATATTTCACTGAATTTTCTCTTTTTCATCTATTTAGACCCATGTAGACATCATCCCCTCCATCCCATATGATCCCCAGAAATATCAATCAATCGACCAGGAAACAAATGAAACTAATATTCTCTAGAAGAAATCAGAATATTTAAATTATTGACACAATACATTAACCTTATAAAACAAGGGGTTTCCATAAGAAATTTCCATGTATGCATATGACATATTTTGACAATATCAACCCACATTCAGTTACTTTCTTAAAAGAGTTGACTCCTTCCCTTTATTAAACATGTTATTTGTTAAGAGTTTTCCACCATCTAATATCTTTAGAAGGCTAATTTATTCTCTCCTATCTTTTCAAAGTTTAGTACTGACTTTCACTTACACACACAAGTAATTCTTTTCTATTTTTTTAAAGTTATACTTAGAGGAGAAATTTTTACAGGACAAATAGGTTTCTAAACCTCACATGATACCTTTGTTGACTCAAATTTATCAGCCAGGATTTTGCTTGCATATATGTCTAACTGCGTGATGCAGCCACACAGATTTCAAGAAGGTAGATAGCTATGTAAGTAGCCAGCTTGAACACTGTAGTTTTAAAAGTTCTACCCAGATTGAACTTGATTAAATGGCTATCTGGACTGAAGGTTACATTAGGAATAGTGAGCAAGTGAGACAGGCTGAGAAGTGAACAGTTCCAAACTCACATGCCCCACATGTGAAGTTAAGGATGCCAGGAATCCACTTCCTCCTCACCTCATGCCAAAACCATAGTCCATGCTGAGTATTCTTGAGTGCCATGGAGGAAGGCTGATGAGGAACATCTGGTCATCACCAGTCACAGGATCATGTGGGTCTTAGGAGGCAGGGCTATCCGTGTCCAGCCACTGTCTCACAGGCTAGGACAGGGCCCAGGATCAGAATAAAAGGGCTGAGAGGCAGATCCCATCCATCTACTCCTCCTGAGGTGCCCACAGATCTTGTACTACCTTGGTAAGTATCTATTAGGAGAAAGAGCATGGACGATACCAGAGGGAAGCTGAAAGGAGACCAGAGGGGAGGTGGCTCAGAACCAGAGTCTGGAGGCCATTCTTACAGGACACTTAGGGTGGTATGGAATTTTGGGTAGAGAAAAGGGCATTCTGATACCCATGGGAGGCATGAGTAGTCAGGGTCCATTTGATGACAAGCTCTGCAGAGAAAATAAGCATCTTTTTAGTGAAGCAGGTCTCTGAGTAGCACAGAAGATAATGCAGCTTCAACTTTAGAGAACTGATGGACTCTGAAATGCAGCTCTGGCCCAGAATTCAAAGGAAGAGATGGGTGCAAAAGAGGGTACCAGGTTCTCTTTGCAGTGAGGTCCATTTTCCCTGAAATGATTCTTTAAATGGGCAGTGTCAGAGTATGTGATTCAGAACCCTCTCATCAGAACCATCTTAGCTTGTCCTTCACTGCTGTACAACACATGTCAGTTTTACCTGGCTTGTGTGGTTTTCTGAATCTCCCAAGAAACAGTGGTGAGGATGTGATCTCTCATGTGAGCATACCACAATGGAAACTACTAGAAATAGTGTTTCTATGGTTATTATGGATACTATGAACTCAGCATAGCCTCGGGGCCCTGACTTGTGTGTGACTATCTTGTAGCTCCTGAGCATTCACCAGCTGAGATGTCCTGCCAGCAGAGCCAGCAGCAGTGCCAGCCCCCTCCCAAGTGCGCCCCCAAGTGCCCTCCCAAGTGCCAGACCCCAAAGTGCCCCCCTAAGTGTCCCCCTAAGTGCCCCCCTAAGTGTCCCCCTGTGTCTTCCTGCTGCAGCCTGGGGTCTGGTGGCTGTGGCTCCAGCTCTGGTGGCTGCTGTGGCTCCAGCTCTGGTGGCTGCTGTGGTTCCAGCTCTGGAGGCTGCTGCAGCTCTGGGGGTGGTGGCTGCTGCCTGAGCCACCACAGGCCCCGCAGATCTCTTCGTCGCCATCGTCACAGCTCTGGATGCTGTAGCAGTGGTGGCAGCAGTAGCTGCTGTGGCAGCAGCGGGGGCAGCAGTGGCTGCTGTGGCAGCAGTGGTGGCAGCAGTGGATGCTGTGGCAGCAGCGGTGGCAGCAGTGGATGCTGTGGTGGCAGCAGCGGGGGCAGCAGCCAGCAGTCTAGTGGCTGCTGCTGACCTGGGCCCTAGGACTTCAGACTAATTGTGGAGAAGGCAGCCTTCTCCTTGCCTCCCACTCTTCCTCCCTGTTGTGCTCTATATTCTGGCTCTCCAACATACTGTGCAAAGTTCTGACTTATGTTTAAAATGACAAGACTGCAACAATAAAGTCTCCCCTTTCAAACCTGACTAAAGTTGTGTTTGATTTTTGCAACATCATCCTTCCAAGTCAGTGTTAGACACTCAGTTAGAATTATAGCCCATGCCAGCTAGTTCCCATGCAGAGGGAGCACAATGAGAAACACGAAAGAGCTCAGGTGCATGTGTTTTCTTGGTTTGCACTTGAAAGCCCACAGCCAGAGCTGTATAGACACAGCTAAGGAGACAGTGTGGCAGGCGGTGGGAAGATTTTACTCACCGATGCTTTCCAAATGGCAGGTTTGAAGCAGCCTTCTTGCAGCTAATAAAAAGAGGAAAGTGAGGCACATTCAGCCGACACTTATGGGAGCCACTCTGGGTCAGTTGTGTGTTCACATAGCTAGGCCCAGTGTCACCGGCCGAATGGAGAGATTAAGGAAGGATAAATAGGCTTAAGACTAGTGAATATCTACTCACCAGTTCCGGTAGTCATTGTGTTGCATGTGATCCTGGGACATGATTACTGGAAAGAAGTTCCCCAGAGGGAAACTCTGACAGAACATGGGAAGTTGGGCATAGTTCTCAGGGCAGAGGTGGGGAGCTGGAAATGCAGAATAAAGGAATGTCTCCAAAGTCTGCTGCAGATCAATGGATCCTAGAGCAGCAGTGTTCTGAGACTGCTGGTGGCCATGTCCCCACACACATAGTCCTAACACATTTGCCTGTTTCATAGTCTTGGGCCTCTGATATTGCGCATAAAATGTTTCACCTCCTTTTCTTGCCTGAAGCCTGTATTGTGACTACTCAGTCCCCAGACAGTGATGGTCAGAAGCACATTTGGGGCCAACCGTCACTGAAACCTGTGACTCTCACCCTAATCGATGTTCCTCATGTGGTCAGGAATGGTGCCTGGGCTCTGTACCAAAAATACTAAAGATGAATCATAATACACAAGGGAAATCAGTGGGGCCAGGGAGAGAGATAGGAAAGACTAGTGGCTTCAGAAAGGATAATAGCACCTGCTGCCTGGCCAATGGAGGCTAAGGGCAGACTCTGGGTGCCACAGCCAGCCATAGCAGCCTCTGGCTTCTCTGCCTGAAGAGCAGCCAGAAGTTTGGAGGCTTTTGCCACCGAATGTTTCCTCATCCATGTGAGTTGGCTTGAGTACCTGAGTCATACATAAGAGCTTAATCTCTGGATGATGTATCTCATATTTTGGGGATTAAAAAATATAATTTTTCAAAACCATTAGAAACCACATTCACCTTGTAGCAGTTCTGCCTACAAACCCTAAAAAACACTGTTTGCGGAACTCTGTTCTGTTTTACTGCATGTACTGAAGTGTTGTGGAACCAGCTGCCCAAGTGCCCATTGGGCAATTCAGTTTTCCTGCTTATATTGTCGTTGTCCAGTTTCTGTTTCATTCTTTTGACTCTGAGGTTTCAGTCAAACATGAAGTTTGCAACTGTGAGTTTCAGTATGCTTGCCTTTTGCCTTTAAATCAAGGCACTGCCTCTTGGAGTTTGAGGCCAGACCAGTCTACTGAGTGAGTTCAGGACAACAGCCAGTGCTATACAGTGAAATTTGGTCTCAAAAAAAAAAATAAATAAAATAAAATAATAAAATAAACCAAGGTACTGAAGTAATATGCAGATATTTTTATTTTACATCTTGATTTTGAGACACTACAGGAAATCAACATTGCCAGCACATTTGCCACCCACTTCTCATACCTTAAGACTTAGATCTTGTCCCTTGGCCTAGTACATCTCCAACTAGTCAGTTTTCTTACTGAATTTATGAATATACATACACATATTAAAACACAAACAAAAACATCACACAAAGGTAAAATTACTAATGTTAACATTGACAAGTCTTTTATTTATGCTTGTGTGTGGTTCTACTTGTCTGTCTGAATATGGTATTTGAATGAGTCCCTATTGGTGGAGGCCTGAGGTCAAGATGCGACTAAAACTTATTAAAGAAATGCATTAATTTATTCACTCAAACTATTATTAAATTTGTTCAATTTCATACCATTTTTGTGTGAATTTATTCTAATATAGTCAAATGAAATAAAAATACACGGAAGAAAAGTTTAGTATTATTCACTATAAAAAAATTATTCACAAAGTATTGGACTGGAACTCACCATACAAAAACAACATTATTCAAAAAGAAGAAAATTCCAGGTACTTTTGCCCATTACTTATAAAACATCATTTTGTGTGTGTGTGTGTGTGTGTGTGTGTGTGTGTGTGTGCCTGTGTGTCTGTAACAACAACAACAATGAAAAAGGAAGCCATGAATTTTGAAGAGAGCCAGGAAGAGTATTTTGGAGGCTTGGGAATATGGAAATGATGTAATTATAATATGAACTCAAAAACAAAAAGAAGTAAAAAAAAATATCTCTCTTAAACACAGTCAGGATAACTAGAAGAAGAAAGAAAACACATGCAAAATACATCAAGGGGCCATACAACATCAGAGAATGTTTAAATAGTCAAGAAAGAAGCCATGCCAAATCAACAAAACAGAGAATAACAGCTGTTGATTAGTCTGTAGAACCCATAGATCAAAAATATAGCATTCTGATCAATCAAACATTACAATTTTAAACAATGTTACTTAAGGAGAAACTAAACCTTCTTTTGGATTGTGACATCATGGAATCATTGTTTATGACTGTTCAAAATGTTGAAATGATAATAGAAATGGAAAAAAATGCTTTGACTCCAAAATTTAAGTTCAAGGACAAGTTACTGGGGAAAAAGATTTCTATTTTTGTTTCCCCAGAAAATGAAAAGCTGTGGATTCCTTCCAGACTAATGTGGTTTGATCAAGCCAGACCACCTGAAACAGAGTACCAGGTGATCCTACATTCAAAACAGCTGGACAAAGCAGCCTTACAGACTACAGCCAGGATTTCTGAATCTTCTTAGAATCCCCCATGACAGCGCCTCTTACCAGCAGGAAGTAGTTTGGAAAGAACGATGCCCAAATTCCCAAATATTGTCTATAAATGTTTGTTTTCATTTAAATGGACTTGGTTATATAAAATAAATAAATAAATAAAAAGAAAAAAAAAACAAAAGAGAAATGACTAATTTACTTGATACTGACGCAGGAGCATAGGGGAAAAAAGCTCATTATTTCTTTTTTTATTTTATTTTATTTTATTTTATTTTATATAACAAAGTCCAATTAAATGAAAACAAACATTTATACACAATATTTGGGAATTTGGGCATCGTTCTTTCCAAGCTACTTCCTGCTGGTAAGGGGCACTGTCTTGGGGGGATTCGAAGACAATTCAGATATCCTGGCTGTAGTCTGTAGAGCTGTTTTGTCCAGCTGTTTTGAATGTAGGATTAGCTTGTACTCTATTTCAGGCAGTCTGGCGTGAGGCTCATTATTTCTTTAATCTAATTAGAACTCAGTTGTGTTCTTTTATTCCACTAGATGGAGAAAATTAGTCATTATAATAGAGAGACAGTATGCCACATAGAAATCCCCAGAAAGTAAGTGGTTGACTCATTAAGATGGTTACACTGACCTGACTGACATGTAAGCCTGCAGATCTCACAATCCGAGACAGATTTTTCAGCCTTCCTCAAGCAGAATTACATGCGTCAGCTGACGACATGGGTGTGCTCCTGCATAGAGGCTGAGACATGAAGTAGAGGCATCAGGGTCTCATCATTCTGGAAGTCAGGAGTTGAGCTGAACAGAGCTGCCATTGTGGACACCCAGGAATCACTTCCTGGCCTCTCCCAGTTGCTAAGACCTTTGGAGCAGACTGAGGAAGAGAACAACATTCTTGTCATGTGAGACAGTGGCAGATCCCTGAAGTCATGTAGCCTCACATACCTCACCAAGCACATTTCAGAGGGCACCTCCCTGGAGGGTGATCTATATCATAAGGAATAGCTATTTATAAATGAAAATGTTATCAATAGCCTTGGTGAGAAGATTTAAGATCATAAAGTATCCATTGTGCTAGATGGGTAGTGGTAAAGAAATACCCAGGCCAGGTTTAAGGAAGTTAAAGAAGTTCATGTCAGTGATATGACACTTAAAATACTTAAAATTCAGTGTGATGATGTATGTACAAAAGGCATGTTGGACATTAAACAGATAAGACAAGGAAAGAGATGAGATTCACCACCTCTATTAGAAGTAAAACACTAACTACAAAAATAAAAGTATATGGAAAGAAACCTACTATGCAGCCAAGAAATGACAAGCACTTATGTAGTTCTCTCTCTCTCTCTTCCTGTCTCTCTGTCTTTCTCTCTCTCCACACACACACACGTTTGTGTATGCATATAGGTATATATTAGTATATTGTGTGTGTATATATATAAACACACACATGTATATATCAATAAATTTAATATAACATATAAATGGACTCTAGAACAGAAATCACCTGATCATATCAATAGGCACAGGAAAAGCTTTTGAAAATCCAACATTCAATAATTTTAAAAGGCCTGGAAAGCCTAGGAATAAAGGAAATTTATCTCAACATAATAAAAGGCATACATAAATAAAAGGCCTGTACCCCAAATTATACTAAGTAGAGAAAACCTTAAAGTATTTACACTAAACACAAACACATAACATCCAATGAGTCTTCTGTTAACACAATATAGTGCTTGAACTATTAGCTACAATAATGATATAAGGGAAAGAAAGATAATATAATTAAAAGTACATCAAATTGAGCTCATTTACAGATGGCTTGACTCTATTCATAAGAGACCCTAAAAGTCCCACCAGAAAATCCTTAGGATTGTAAACTATGAAGTGTGACACATTACAAAATTAATATTAGCAAACCAGTAGCTTTTATGTACAGCAATAACAAGCATATTGAGTTGAGAAAGAAACCAGAGAAAGAATCCCATTCACAGTTCCTTAAAACATATCTTAGAATATGTAGTCAGGGAAGTGAAATATCTCCACAATGAAACTTTTAAAAAACTGAATAAGGAAAGTTAAGAACACGCTAGAAGACAGAATGCCATTTCATCTCACAGATTGAAGAATTAATATTGTAAAAACTATTTACTGAAAACAATAAGCAGTTTCAATAAATCTCCTATAAAATTTCATTGCCATTCTTCACTTAAAAAAGAATCTTAAAATTAATTTTCAAATACAAAAGACCACAGATAGTCCAAAACAATTATAGCACAAAGAATAACAATGGAATTATTAAGTATGGTGATATTTCAAGTTAAACTACAGGGTCATAGTAACAAAAAATTATAGTACTGACAAAAAATGAAAACATGTAGATTAGTGGAATAGAACAGAGAGACAGATGGACAGATATAAAGCCATGTAGCAAGAATCACCTGATTATTTAACAAAGATGCTAAAATGCACAATTGAAAAAAGCCTGTCTGAACAAAGTATATCATCACATGTAAAGATAGACACCTATCTCTTACCCTGCACAAAAATCAACTACAGGTGGATTAAAGTCCTGAAAAAGTAAGGAAAATACTTCAAAATATTGGCAAAGGCAAGGACTTTCTGAATGGGACTCAGTTGCTCAAGAAATAAAGCTAATATTGAACAAAGTAGACCTTATGAATTTAAAAAAGATTCTCTACAGAAAAGGAAAGAGTTAAATGAAAATTTAGTCCATAAAATGGGTTAAAAGCTTTGCTAATTATGTATCTGACAAAGAATCAATACCTGTGATGTACAAAGAACTCAAGAAGCTAAACTAAAACTACTCAGTCAATAAATGGGCTAATGAAATTCAGACATTTCTCAGAAAACGAAAACAAATGCTGCTAAACATTTGAAAAAAATCAAATTTGATAGCCATAGGAGAAATGCAAATCCAAATAAAAACTACACTGTGACTCCATCTTACCTCAGTGATAATGCATGAAGTTATGAAAATGGAGCTATTATCACCAGCTATATATTTCTGGACGTTTACTCAAAGAACTCAAAGTCAGCATGGCACATATACTATAATCACTGTCAAAGAGTATTTTCCATAAATTATAGAACATACACACACCATACATACATGCATACATACACATACAATAGAGGAATGGGTTAAGAAAAATGGTATACATTGGAATTTTTCACAATGAAGAAGAAAGTAATGTCATTTCCAGAGGATTAGAAATAACTTAAGATGATTCTAGGTGAATTAAGCCAATTGCAGAAAGAAATATGGATATTCTTTCATGTTTTCCTTCTTAAATTTTATATAGACATATATATATATATAGACATATATATATATATATATATATATATATATGTACACTTGACATGAAATTCAAAGTGAAACTCTATAGGAACAAATGAGACTAATGATATTGGTAAAGGTAAGACAAAGAGAGAAGAGACTATGCTCAATGTAAAATTTATCTAATGAGCAGGTAGGAGGAAGATAGATAACAAAACTACAGATTTTGTAGCTTAACCCTGGAACTTGGAATGTTAATCATTTCAGAAAGAGCATTGAAGAGATCAGTTGAGCAATGAAATACTCTTATGGATCCTTCAGGTATGTAAGGTTAAGGCTGACAGGAATCCACTTCCTCATCTCATGTCTAAATCATATTCCAAGCTGGATGCAGCATCCATGAGTCCCACTGAGGAAGGCTGATGAGGAACATCTATCTGGTTATCACCAGCCACAGGAACACATTGTGTCAGGGGGCAGGGCCTCCCATGCTCAACCACTGTCTCACAGGCTAGGGCAGAGCCAAAGACCAGAATAAAAGGTCTGTGGGACAGAGCACCTCCATTCACTCACCTCCAGAGGTGCCCACAGACCTTGTGCTACCTGTCATCTTGGTAAGTGTCCATTTGAGGTCAAGGAGCATGGTCTATACCACAGGGAAGCTATGAGGAGACCTGGGGAGTGGGAGTGGGCTGGGCAAGGCCAAAGAACTCAGAGACATGTGGGAAGGGCAGAGAGTACAGAAAAATAGAAGGTTGGGTAGCAGTAGATAAAAGAACTTTAAAACTCATGGGAGGTATTAGAAGTAACTGGTAGCTCTGACTTCTGAATATGGAGAGAAAAATATGCCCTCCAGTGGATGGGAACCTGAAATACAGAGAGCTGTAGACCTTGATAGGCTTTGCAGGAGGAGCTCCCCTCTGCTAACACTGCCCTGAGACAGCCTGCAAAGAAAGACTAACAGTAAGGAGAGGACACTGAGGGATCTTTGGTCTTGGAAAACACACAGGCTATGGATCTGGAATTTTATCACATGCTGCTCAAATTTTTAAGATAAAACGGTATAAGACTTGCCATGTCAACCAGTCTATATGAGGTGTTGAGATGATTCAAATTTTCTTGAAGGAGGGACCAGACCTGGTTCATGTCTCCAGGAATGGCCAAGTTAGATCTTTTATCAAAAGGAATAAGATCACTGATCAATAATTGCTATTTTCTTCTTTGAAATCATTATCATCATTAGTTTGTGATGCTTTGGGAATTGATGGAAATCCCATAAGAATCTCCAAATGGCCTACAAGAGTAGAAGATGAAGACTAATGACATTGTAAAAGATGTCAATCAGAGAAATTTAAGGGGAGGAGGAAATTATTCTGAATATGCCTTCAGACTGTGAAATCTCTCAAAATAAGAGTTACAGGAGAATGAGTTTTTCAAAAGAACAAGCACCTCTTCTATCGAAACTTGCAAGATAATTTGCATCTGCAGACCAGTACTATAAGGTCCTTGGGGTTTGTTAGAAGTAAAATTACCGAATATAGAGTTTCTATAAATAACAGTGATATTTAGAAGTGGATTGGATACCCCCGGATCCTGGGTCTGACTTGTGTGTGACTTTTCCACAGCTCCTGAGCATTCACAAGCCGAGATGTCCTGCCAACAGAGCCAGCAGCAGTGCCAGCCCCCTCCCAAGTGCACCCCCAAGTGCCCTCCCAAGTGCCAGACCCCTAAGTGTCCTCCTAAGTGCCCCCCTAAGTGTCCCCCTAAGTGTCCCCCTGTGTCTTCCTGCTGCAGCCTGGGGTCTGGTGGCTGTGGCTCCAGCTCTGGAGGCTGCTGCAGCTCTGGGGGTGGTGGCTGCTGCCTGAGCCACCACAGGCCCCGCAGATCTCTTCGTCGCCATCGTCACAGCTCTGGATGCTGTAGCAGTGGGGGCAGCAGTGGCTGCTGTGGCAGCAGTGGGGGCAGCAGTGGCTGCTGTGGCAGCAGCGGTGGCAGCAGTGGCTGCTGTGGCAGCAGCGGTGGCAGCAGTGGCTGCTGTGGCAGCAGCGGGGACAGCAGCTGTGGTGGCAGCCAACAGTCCGGGGGCTGCTGTTGACCTTTGCCAGGAGGATCTCTGACAGAATGGAGAAGGAAACCTAGTGTGGAAGATTGGATGCACTCTCCTTCTGTCCAAGACTGAGAGACGCTGAAATCGTGTGGAAAGTTCTGAATACCCTAACAAGCAGGGTAACTAATTTTCTGTATTACAAAATAATAAAATCTTCCTGTTAATCTTCTTCAGACTCTTAGTCATTTTGATCATCATCAGCCCTACATGTCAGTGGTTTTAACTGGTGTCCCGTTTTACTCTGGTTGTCAGAAGGGTGAATGAGGAATATGGGTCAGATAGCCAGACAGTTGATAGGGTGTGCATAGTAAATTCTCAATCACCCTTTCTTGCACACAGTGAGGACTAATCTCCCCCTACATGTTGCCTATTGCTGTTGTTATCCTCCTCTATGTACAGATGTGTGTTCTCTGGTGTTGTATATTTCGCTCTACTATGTTCCTAACTACTGTGATAGAATTTCTAACAACTCATATATGTATCCTTGGTAGTGACTGTAACACCTCACTAAATGAAAAATGAGTCTCTCCTGGTAGAGTTTGATTCTCTTTTCTTTTTTTATTAAAAAGACCTGGAAAGGTACAATTTTGATCATTGCTTTGTTATATTAACTTAAATTCAAGTTTTTTACATTGTTGAACCAAGACAAGAAGATTGATGCTTATTAGAATCCAAATGTAAAATCCAGATGTAAACCAAGTTGATGGAAAGACTTCTATTGGCCATCATATCCAGCAAAAACCTTGACCTTATGATCTCAAGTAGGTGAGTTCTGCTCCTGAGTAGATTCATTGCAATGAGGGAGGATCGCAAGCTGTTCATTCCCTTATGTTGCTTTTCTAACAACCCAAGGAGGAAAAGAGTGACTGCCAGATAGTACTGGGACAGAACGCTGTGGGGTTACACATTTCTGCCAGCTGGGTTCATTACACTGGTAGCCTAAGCAATGTAGAAAAGAAATTGTAACTGCACAGTGCTATAGGAGAGTAGATCATTGTAGTGGGATATTCACTTTGTCTCCTTCTGTGGAACTGACCACGCCCATTGGTGGGTGGAGCCAGGGGCAGAAGTGACCTGTGGAAGGCGGTCTGAGGAGGAGCCTAGGAATGCTCTCTTGCTGGTGGGTCATGGAGAGGAGAGCATCCGGTGGAACTTGCTGGTGTTCATCTGTCTAGGTTGTAAGTTATTTCTCCCTGAATAAACATCTATTCTGCCTATTTGTTTATCCTGATCCTTATTTAACTGCAATAGATCATGAACATGCCAGTAAAGTTTGCCTGCTCCATAGACTGATGAAGTATAATGGTTATAATGATGATATCTTTTAGTATGGAAGATATGTGCATGAAACAGTTTAATCAGTTGAAGTATCTTATTTAATACTCTTGGAAAATTCATGAAAAGAGAGTCATTCAAATCCATATTTTATATTTGAAGAACTGAGTGAGAAAAGTTAAGTAGCCTGTACTAACTTAGATATGTTCTACTAGAACTAGAATAGTATCTGAGGATGTCTTGCTTCAAAACTACAAGCCTAACATCTAGGAAATTTTTCTCAAGCTATTATAAAGGAAGACTTTGGGAATTCATGTTTCCCATAATTTATATCTAATGAATACACCACATTTGAAATATACACAAAACAAACAAATAAATAAAATTCCTTCCTCTGAGAACAAGATTGAACACACATAAAACCTCTATAGGCATACACATTTCTTTGTTCAAACCTAAAAGCCTGCTGTTGATGAAGCAACATTGCAGGAGAGAGAGATGAGAAACTATGGAAGCCAAACTTAAGAAAGAGTAAGAGGCGGGTACCACTAAGCAGATAATGCAATAGATGATGGACTATGAAACAGGATGGTATATTGTTTCAATAACCTATTGCAGGAGAGTAAGCCGGTCATATTGTACACTAGTCATATTGGGTTCATAGTTTTTTGTGTTACAGAACCCTACCCCTTGGATGACACTGCCCACATTCAGGTTGTCTTTCCTCCTCTTAAACCTTTAGGGAAACACCTCATATACACACCCAGAGGTGTGTCTCATCTCATAGTGCACAAACAAGACATAGATGTAGAGAAAAAGATTTGTATGGTGGAGGGGGGGGGTAGGGGAGGTTGGCAGGAGTAAGGAGAGCTGAGAAAGTAATCTGAATCTCTCTCTCTCTCTCTCTCTCTCTCTCTCTCTCTCTCGTGTGTGTGTGTGTGTGTGTGTGTGTGTGTGTGTGTGTGTGTATGATGTCTCTCAGGTTTCTTCATTGACTAGAGACAGTTAATGCAAGGAGTTAAACTCAGTCTACTTAAATACTTATCTCTTATCATATTGAATCAAAATTTCCTTGCAATCCCTTGATGGTTAGTTTATCAAGGAAGTTTTTCTGTAGCATTGCTGATGTCATTGAGAATAATGTGCACATTATATGTTGATCCTTTTTAAACACTCATTTATTATGTTGTATGTATATGAGTGAAGGAGAGCACATACCCCTGCATATACGTGGAGGTCAAAAAACATTTAGGGGTTTGTTATTTCCTTCTAGCCTGGGTCCCAGGTGTCAATTCAGGTTTTCAGGCTTGCTTGACAGTGCTCTTACTCACTAAGCCATCATCTAGACACCATATGTTTGTATTTATTTTATGATCTTCCTGAGCTCTCATGTTATCTATGAATATCACATAAAGCATTCTTATGTATATATGAAAACTTTGTCTTATTTAAATGCCTAGAAGCTCAACTATTGCATAAAAGAAAATGTGCATGTTTTGTATGTTTACTATACATCATTTAGCACAGATTGCTTTCCAGAACAATTACAACAGCTTGTATTGCTAGCCACAAATACCAATGTACATATTACTATCACACATCCCAAATAAGCAGCATATTATTGTAAATAATTGTTATTTGGAAATACATAAAGGAATCTAACAGCATGTTTCCAAATAAAGGATATGTTATTGTTCTCTTTGTATTTATTTGACTATTAGTAAAATTGAACATTGACCTTTGTGTGGGAGCGTTCATGCTGTTGAATATGTGTGTGTGTGTGTGTGTGTGTGTGTGTGTATGAAAGAGAGAGCAATTTTGTAAACCAGGTTGATACTTTTTTCCTACTGGTGTTTAGTTTTTAATTTTTGATATTTCTTTATGTACTCAAACTGTTGATTCTTTATGTTTAGTTTTAGAATACTGAATATAGATTAGACTTCTAAGAAAGACTTGAAGTTGGGGCATCTAAATTCATGACTTTGTTGGTTAGTGACTCATAGAAGAGGCAATTGGGAGGTTTATGTGAAACAATCAATTCAGAGTTAGTTTGTGCCCTTGGTTATTTCAGCAGTCTCTTTCAATTTGAGAAGATGAAATAATAACAATGTAGAAGACAGACAGCTAGGATTAATACATGACATAGGACAGCCTGGACAAGACAATATATGAAATGCTCCCAGATCTATTAATAGCTAATGCTCATAATATGGGGTTAGCCATTTTTTCTGACCCACCCCATCAACTGGGTCAGGTATTTCCCTTTCTCAAGAGTGAGGCCTGAACCAGATGACTTCTCCGCATCATTCCGGGAACCAGGAACTGGTCCCTCCTGAGCCAAGACAATGACATCTAGTCTACTTCCCCATAACTAAGCTCTACTGGAAAAACCCAACCAATGGTCATACTCAGAGGAGTTTGAGGCCAACATATGTCCATCCATAGGTATACCTCAGAGTGTGTATTCTGTGAGGATGACCTAAGAAACATGAATTAAGTATTTGTAAATTGTAAAGTTATAATAATTTTACTCACAAATATTTAATCATATGCATAACCATATACTGGTTGTTGGTGGAAATAGGAGTCAAAAACTTCAAGTTGTATTGTGAGATATTGGATTAAAATCTCATTTATAAAATATATCACTTTGGTCGATGCAGAGACTCACGACTGTCAAAGTGCAGAGACTGTCAGTGGCATACACAGCCACAAATGGCACATCTACATCATACCCTTTTCCAAGGCTCGGATTTTATGCTAGGATCCTACAATACTGGAAACTTCATTAATCTCTTAATGACATAATATGTTATGAAGTATAGGATATCCTATTCCTCCACAGCCCATTCCAGTCATAGGATTTAACTAAGCATGAATAGAAAACCATTATATATTCAAAAACTTGACTGGACAGCTGTCCTCTGACCTGCCCACTCACAAATACTAGTTTCTAACCTTTGTCCACACAGAAGGTGGTCTTTCAAAACACTTCCTTGCCCTTCAGTATTGACAGATGTCTCCTTACCATGAGTACAACACAATACATGACTTACTATAGATGAGGTTGGACCACACACTTCCACCAACGAGTTCTTTCCATGTCTACTATACAGCCCAGTGTTTGTGCTAATCTGGGTTTTATCTAATATTCCTTATAACTCCACCATGATACCCAGTGTATTACCTTTCTTTCACTGTGCCAAAACTGCACATAATTTAAAGGAAGTATTTATTATGGTTACAATTCATAGTTTTACTCCATTATAGCTGGAAGTACATAGTACAGAGTCCAGTCTGAGGTGGTGGGGAAATGAAGCAGGAACTGTTCACACGTTAGTGGCCTGGGGAATAGAGAACACAGCCCGGGGTAAGGGGCAGGCAAAGCATTCAAATTCCAGCCCCTAATGAAGTGTTACCACTCTATTTGGTGCCCTTAACCTGGGAGAATGGAGTCTAAATGAGGCTGACTAAAGTCTCATGTAATAGCCAACTTTATTTAGGACATTGAACGGTTTACATTCTGAAGGCATTCTGAGTGTTAAGTTAGGTCATGTGAGGAAAGTTCACCTGAGTTCATGTTGTATACAGTCACAAGAGCAAGGTCACATGAGTTTAGGCTTATACAGTCATGAAGGTAGGGTCATATTAGTTCAAGTCAGATACAGTCATAAGGACAACCTGTGCTTAGAAACATCATCTAAATAATAATACTTGATGCTAGGTAATCTAAAACAAAACCTACTCCTATTTATTGC